ATCACAACAGAGGGTCCCGGACAGAGCTGGAGAAAAATGTAGAACAAAATTCTAACTCACAAAAAAAGACCAGACTTAGTGGCCTGACAGAGACTGGAGAAACCCCGAGAGTATGGCCCCTGGACACCCTTTTAGCTCGGTAATGAAGTCACTCCTGAGGTTCACCGTTCACCGAAATATTAGACAGCCCCATAAAACAAAACAAGACTAATGGGGCACAACAGTTTAGGGACAAGGACTAGAAGGCAGGAGGGGACAGGAAAGCTGGTAATAGGAAGCCCAAGGTTGAGAAGGGACAGTGTTGACATGTCATGGGTTTGTTAACCATTGTCATAAAACAACATGTGTACCAACTGTTTAATGAGAATCTATTTGTTGTGTAACCCTTCATCTAATGTACAATTAAAAAAAAAAAGATTGCAGCCTAGAAAACCCTATGGGGCAGTTCTACTCTGTCACGTGAGGTCACTATGAGTCAAAATTGACTTGACGGTACCTAACAACAACACAACAGATTAACTATGGCTCATTCTTATCTATGATTTAAGAGAGATTAAAAATTTTTTCTTCTGTGTGGAAAATATTCTAGTTAGCAATTGATTTGAGTTCTTATAATTTATTTAACTCATTCGTTTATAAAAATATGTGCTTTTTATGGATTGAATTGTGTCCCCAGAAATATGTGTTGAAATCCTAACCCTTACACCTGTAAATATAACCCTCTTTGGAAAGAGGGGCTTTATTTTGTTACTTTAGTGATGTCACACCCGAGTAGGGTGGGTCCTAAACCTAATTACTTCTGAGTTTTAAAAAGAGCAGAATAGACAAGAGATACACACTAAGGAACACTGAGGAACTCCAAGACCACCCACAGGAAGGACCTCCCCTTAGAGCCACGCCCTGAATTTGGACTTTTAGCCTCTTGAACCGTGAGTAAATAAATTTCTGTCCTTCAAAGTCACCCACTTGTGCTATTTTTTGTTATGGCAGCACTAGGAAACTAAGACAATGGTCATCAGGCAATCAGGAAAATTTTAGAAAACACTAAGATACAAAAAGAGAAAAACACAGATCACTTGTAGCCCACTATGGACACTTACACACACACACACTTTTTTTTTTTTTACAAAAATGAGGTCTGAGTGCTTATCAATAGACCCAGCCTGCAATTAAAAAAAAAAAAATAATGTCAGTGAAGGAAAAAAACACCACAGTAAACTTCTGAAGAGTAACATCTTCACATCAGAAAGCACCACTACCTAGTTTTTCCAACTCAGCTTGTTGCTCTCATAATTTAAAGCATGGTTGTATAGCAATGTGTAGGATAGTATTTACCTAGCAAACTAACTCTGGCGTCGTGTGACTTTGCTTACATATAGGTGTAGTTTTGTTATTGTTGATTTTTTCCTGTTACTGTATTTGCTTGTTGTTTGACTTAAAGAATATTTGTTTTCTCCTTTGTGCCTTTCAGATAAATTCAAGCACCCTGCCTAGGTGTAGCTTTGCTTTTTTTTTTTTTAAATTAACATACAGTATAATTGGCTTCTGTGTGTGTGAGTACAGTTCTATGTGTAACCATGATTGTAATTAGGATACAGACACTGTTCTATCATCACCTAAAAGTCCATTGTTCTATCCCTTTAGAGTCACAATCTCCCCTCTCCCCGTATACTGTTGCCATTGAGTCGATTCTGGCTCATAGCGATCCTACAGAACAGAGTAGAACTGTCCCGTAGGGTTTACAAGGAGTGGCTGGTGGATTTGAACTGCCAACCAAGCTCTTAACCACTGTGCCATCAGGGCTCCCTGGCAATCCCTGAGGAGTTCTCCACTGGTCTGTCCTCCATCACTATGTTGTTGTTGGGTGCCGTTGTGTCACCAAGGGCTTCTTATATTGTAGTACTGTAGTACCATTCCCATTTTACAGGCAAAGAAACTGAGCCAAGGGAGGTTAAGTAACTTGCCCAAGGTCAGGGCCTGCATGACTAACCATTAGACAATACCACCTCTGAAGAGCCAACCAAGTGTGCAGGGGTCCTCTAAAGGTGACAAAGTGTCATCTGTGTAGCAGCAATCCCTTGGGTCCCAGATCCCAAATCCTTCCTTTTTTGTAGCTTCTAGTTTAGGAACCCGGAAGACCGGATGTGAACTTTCAAATTGATCCTGGACAATGTACTCCCCCTCGGAACCTTGAGTTCCTTATCTGCTTCTAGAGGAGTTTTAGCTTAAAAGACCTCTCCTTGCAGTATTTCTGTGTCTGTGGGTGTGTGCTGGGGGGTGGGAGGTGTTGGCGCTGAGGTTTCTGGGTCTGCTTCTTTTCCCAGGTCTCTTGAGGAAATAGGGTATTTTGAAGTTCTGTCCTAGCTACTGCCTCCCATGAGACTGACCGCCGGGCAGTGATGGCACTCAAGCTTGGCTCTTCCTCCTAAATATGGAAAAGGGCAACCACTGGGGCCAGCCTCCAGCCACAGTGCCGCAGCCCGGAGATGTAGGGTGGGTCTTTTTCTTCTCAGGGCGTTAGGGATGAGGGTGTATCCTCAGGAAGGCTTCTTGGAGGCAGCTAAGCCTAGCCCTGAAGGTCTCGCGAACAAAGAAAGCAAGTCTGACAGAGCCTACAGTATGGGAGGAGGAGCTGTGCGGGTGGAGGCCAAATCGCAAGGTCTTCAGAGCTTAGCTTTATTCTAAGAGCAGTGGGGAGGGGTTTGAAGCCACTGAAGGCGTGTAAATTAGGAGTTTTAGAAAGACCCCTCTAGCTGCTAGGGAAGAATGGGTCGGAGGGGAACAGGAGGCTATCACAGAAAGCAGTCCAGTTGGAAGATAACGGAGGACTAAGGAAGGGGCGGGGTGGGGGGTGCGAGCATCTGAAGCTTTTCTCAGTCCCCGCGTCACTGTACGCGGTTTCTCGGCTTTCTTTGCTCATGTAGAAGGGCCCGGTAAAGGACTGAGCACCCGTCGAAAACCCAGTGAGCGAGAATGACCCAGAGCCCCGTCCTCTTTCAGGGACTTTCTGATCTAGGTGCCCCAGAAGTGACGGGGAGGCGGGAGAACTTCCCACTGCTGAAGATGGAGAACCGTTACCCCTCAAAAACACACACAAAAAACCTTAGCCGCTTTTGGCAGCAGCCTCCTCCGCCCATGACCTCATGCTTTAAGCTCCCTTATAGCCTTCCCTCGTCCTGCCCACACCCAGCGCCCTAGTGGTTGTGGGGTGGGGGTGGAGGGCAGTAGGTTAGGCCTGGGTAGCCGGAGAAGCTTACGTTTCCGCGCGAGATTTGGGGGGACAGGGTGTAATGATTTCACCACAGCAAAAACAAACAAACAAACAAACAAACAAAAAAACATGATTTACGTTTCCCTTCTGCAAATACTCGCTGTCTTGAGATGCCTCGAACTTGGCTCTAACTGGCCTGCTTACCCGAAGCATCTTTGGTTCACGTTTCTCGGACCAGGAAAGAAACCGTGGTCCCCCCGCACCTGGGTGTACGGGCGACCGCGCCTTCGTGGGACTTTGAGCTGTCCTGCCCTCGCCCCCTGGTCGGCGCCTGCGGCCGGCGCCACCAACGTTTGAACCCTTGGCTTGGCTTTCCACCCGCGCCCTGCCCCCTGCTCGCAGCTGCTCTCGGTTAGGGTGCAGCGGTTTCCCCCGCAGAGCAGGAGGAGGAGACAGCGCGAGGGAGCGACTCCGGGCTCAGGTTTCCGCACCAATGCCGAGCAGCTCCGGGCGGCCTCCGGCGGCCGTCCCTCCTCCCCGGCACCACGTTCCACAGTCATGGCGCGCGAGGAGGGGCGAGCGCGGGCCGCGGCTGCACCCGCGCCCCCTCCCCTCTCTTCGCCGCCCGGCCCCTCTCCTAGGCAACCTCCCTCCCCGGCCGGCTTCGCCGACATAGAGCCCCCTCCCCAGGAGCTGCATTTCCAGCGCCGTCTGCACCCCTTCCCCGCCCCCATTGGGGCGGAGGTATGAAGCCGCGCGCTTCGCGATTCTTCAGTCCCTTCCCAGCCCCACCGAGGCCGGTGTGCGGTGGCGGTTGATGCAGACGATCTCCCCGCAGTCCGCCTAGGCCTTGGCATGTTTGCAACCCCCTAAAAAACCCGCCACACAAACCCAAACCCCAGCCGTTAGATTGCAAAGCGCGATACAATAACCCGGACGGCTACGCAGGAAGCAATCCTGCACTGGCCCGGGTCTAGAGGGCGGCTTCCCGGCCACGCCGCCTTCTCCTGGGCCTCGATTTTCCGGCCACGCCAGAGTCCGCACCCCAGGACCAGCTGACAGGTCCCGCGCAAGGCTGCAGCAGGGCCCGCGCCCCCCGCCCCATTGTCGATCTGAGGCTCGCCAACCTACAAAAGGTGCAACCTCACGCACACGCAAACACACAAAGTCGGCAGCGCAGCGCCGGCAGGGCAGCGAACAATGCGCGGGCCGGCCTGCGCCTTCCGGAGCGTGGCGCCCCGGGGGGCAGGCGGCGCGGGCAGGGGCCGCGGCGGAGGACCGGCCGGCCGCGGCGCTGGACACCTTACTTCCTGCTTCCCCGCCCGCTGGCGGACCCAGCTTTGCGGAGGGATATCTCTCCCCTCCTCAGTCTCTCTCCCTCCCTTTCCCCGCCCGCTCCCTTTTGCTCCTGCTCCCCCACCCCCACCCCCACCCCGCCTTTCTCCTTTTGCAAGAAAATAATTTGACAGTCGATTTGCTGACAGGGGAGGAATTTGCATTCTGGATTAAAAAAAAGGCAGAGAGGAGCTTGGGAACGGTTGCTAGGGGTGGGTAATGGGTGAAAAAGGGGGGGCTCCGGGGAGCGGCTTAGGACGGTTAAGGGAGGGGGGGCGAGGGTGGGAAGCAATGCAAAAGGTAAGGCCAGGTTACCGCCGCTCAGCCCCGAGTGGGCTGCGGCCGGGGGAGGGGCGAGAGATACATATGTATTTCTGTCTCCCCAGCACACCCCCTTCCCTGTAAGCGATGGCTGAGAGGCGGTGCATGCAGATGGGGAGTAAGTTTCCTGAAGGGGAGGGTGGGTGCACGCGCGCAACCCGGCGCTGCAAATTTCCACCGGGGACGGCGAGTGTCTGGATGCGGAGAGTTTGGAATTGCTTGCGGCGGAGGGCAGGAAGGGGAGCAGGGCCGGGAAAGGGGGCTGGCGGGCGCTATATCTGAGAGTAAGTTTCCTGGATCGGGAGAGCCTGCACGCTTGCTAGCTAGTAAGTTTCTGACCGGGGAGGGCACGCGGGGAGGAGGAGAGGGAGGGGTGCTTGTATATAGGAGGGGGGAGGAGGGGAGCAGATTTCCTGCGGGGAGTCTGAATGCATATGGAGAGTAGATTTCCTGAAGGGAGGGTGGAGGCGTAGACGGACCGAGTAAGTTTCTGGCTGGGGTGGTGTTGGCGGTGGTGGGTTGGTGCTTCGGCAGCTTGGAGCTTCCTACTCCAGGGTGGCGTTGGAGGAGCACGCCGTTTGGGGCGAGTGGGACGAGGGACCAGGTTCCCTGCTGGGGAGAGGGGCTTGCATCTGCGGAGTATGTTTCCTGGCGGAGCGATATTTGTTTACTGGCTGAGGGCAGTACTGTAAGTGAGTAGCGCTGCGAGAAGGCGGCTCTGACATAAATTAATATTGAAATTACTCCATCAGCTCTGCTCGCCTCCCCATCTAACCCCTCAAACGGAGACCGGTCTTCTTTTCGGATTGCCCATGCACTTGTTGCTGAGACAGCCAAGGTAGGCAAGAAGCTTATTAAGTTTCATTTTAAAAAAATTAGTTGGAGGATGGTCGTGAGACGACCGGAGCGGGGAGAAGTGGGGGACGGAGAAGGAAAAGTCCCCCCCCTTCTTTACTTTCAGTATGTAAGCGGGGCCTTCTTCTCCCTGCTTCCCTTCTGTCCTTTTCCCTCTCTGGGCTGCACCGCATCCCAGTACAGGGGGAGGAGTGAGGTGGGCACTATCATTAGCAACCCCGGCTTGAAGGGTGGCAGTAGTGGGGCTTGCAACAGAAGGTTGTGATGTTATAAAGCCTTCATTCTTCCAGCTAAGAAACCGCAGAACCCTGGGGATGTGCCTTTTGGGGTTTTTGACATGATGCATATGTGTGTGTATATGCTTCTGCGGGCTCTGTGGGGGCTCGGTACCCCCCAGAAGTTAGTGTGGCCACCCAGATGGGAGAAAAGGAGTATGTAAGGAGATAAACCTGCCCTTTCATCCTCTAACTTCAGTTTGGGAACTGGGAAGTTACTGCTGGTGGTCTGGAGAAATAGATATTTAAAGAGAAAAGCAAAAAAAAAAAAAAAAACCAAAAAAACAAAAAACACCCACTCGTTCACCGGCGGAGGCAGAGAGCACCTGGCGGGCAGCCTCTGGCCAGCGCTGGGCTGTATGTAGCATGTGCGCCTGCCATCCTTAGGTTAAAAGAAAACGCCTTCTGGTTCCTCCGTCTGCCTTCGATCGGCCTGATAGAGCCAGCTTTGTGGAAACTCATCCCATACTAGACGCAGCTTTGGCAAGTGAAACGTGTTGAAGCGGGTTGCTAACAGCGTGGCCTGGACTGTGCTTGTGAAGTGCATGGAAGTCATGCTTAGGAATGACGGATCCAGGGATGGCCGAAGAGTTCTTTAAAAAATGCCACCTGAAAGCCGGCCCTGGTGCACTTTTCCGCAAGCCACAGAGGAGTGCTTTAAGAAAGGAGTTTTAGTTGTCCACTTGGTACCAACCTTCTGCATCATTTACCCTTTCAAGAAAGGAGTCTGGTGATGGAAAATGTGGCTTTGATGATCCCAGGAAGGATAACAAGCAAGAGTACTCAGCACTTAACTAGTTAACCAGCAGTCTTTGCCTCACGTTTCCTCTGTGACCTGGTCCCCAACCTGCCGATTTCTGCAGATGAATTTTGAGTCCTGGCTCTCAGGTACCCACCTTTGATTGTGCTGGAGTTTTAACTTTGCCAAGAGGGTTGGAGGGTCGAACCTAGTGATGTCAGGGAGTAAATACAAAGCAGCGGGGTCAACCAAAGTTGGTTAAGCTTTTCCAAGTTCTGTAGACAGGCTGAATTCTATCAGGGAAAAAATGACTTAAAAAAAAAAACAAAAAAAACTCTCTTTTTTTCCCCCCGTCATCAGATTTCCAGATTGAGGGTTTGATATTCCGCAATTTGAGAGTTGAGTTAGTTGGAAATTAAATATTATTCCCACTTATTGAATGTTCCTAACTAGGCATTAGTTAAACAAATTAGCTACTGTTTTTACCAGCTGAAAATCTGAGTCTGGTTGGTATATGCTGGAAGGGTAAATGAAATCTTTATGTGTGTTTATCCCAGGGTGGTGGAATTATTTACATGCCTAACCTTGAAGCCGAGTGCAGTTATTCAGGTTTCTTTTTTTCCCCCTTCTTCTTATATTTATCAGATTTATTTTGTCTTGCTTTGGCCATTAATCAAGGCACAGTGGTTTTTTATCCTCTTCTGTGGAGAATGTGCTTGTGGTAATAAAGCTTTGGAGGCCCGTGAATCATAATTCACTCTTCTTAAAACATTGTGGTGATTGTCAGGATTTGATTTATAGGAATTGATACCCGGAATGGCACACCTCTTTGAGCCCCGCCCTTTTAGACATGTCCGTTTTTGCCAACGAATTGTTTAGAAGCCAGCTTGACATCTCAAAAAGAACGTTTCCCTTCTGTTTTATAGGCGTTGTGAAGATTAATTTCACAGGTTCCATAGTAAACATGGGTCTTTTCACAGCTTGGTAAGCAGGCTTCCACATAGCAGGCATGTGTTAATATCACATAGCTTTTATGTGAGCTTGCTGTGAAAACAGTTATTCTATGAAGTGTGTGGAAAGTACTCAGTTTTGCCTCCTTTAACCCGCTAGGGCCTGTGGTTTTTGTTGAGTTTGGAGCTTTAATTATAAAAGAGGGGACAGACTGTAGTGTTCTTTGCTGTTTTGTATAAGAAACTGTATGGTCACAAAAGCAAAGAAGCTGATTTATAATGTTCTTTTTCTCTTTCTTTGCTGGGAAGATTGGTCATAATAATCAAAAGCATTGGTTTGTTGGAAAGTGTAAGGATTCTCCATAAAATTGGTTAATCAGGAAGTGTTAAAATTGTCTTCCATTCAGTAGTTGGCTCGAGTTGGTACAGTATTTGTAAAGTGACAGAGAAGAACTTTTAAGGTGGTTCAGTGCTCAAGGCTGCGGGGGGGCATGTGTCACAGGAAAGAAAAGAAGAAAAGGAGAGGGTACCAATTTGTAGCCATTTCTGGGCTTCAGTTTTTTTTTTTTTTTTTAATGCATGGTTTCATCCGTGAGTTCCCTCCTAGCTCTGAAATTCTCTGACTCTGACTAAGGTCTTGTGGAAAGAGGTCTCAAGAGGTCTTGACAAGTCTCTTCCTGGGCCAACGGCCAAATTGCTTCATGGACTTGGGTGAGTTAATTAACTTCTGTTTTTGTCTTCTCATGGAGAGAGTGGATTTGTATGTTGGCATTCCAAAGAGGACTCTCGAGCGGCCTGGTAATCTTGACTGTCAAATGCAAGAAAAAGGCTGCCACAGTCTTGGGGGAAAAAGTGTATGGTTGATTCCCAAGTGTATGGTTGATTACTGGGGTGTGTAATCCCAGACACCAAAAATAATTTCAGTTCATCTTGGAAGTTTCCCCTCTAGCCAGCTGGTTCACCTGTCTAATTATGTTTGGTCAAGTCTACGGTTAACTGAGCTGTTATGCTTAGGTAGCAGAAGGAGGTAGCCTTGGGGAGGAGTGGGAGACCAGAAAACCCAGCGTGGCTTTACCCATTTTCTGTGGAGAATTCACATGTGGGTAATTGGGATTTGGCTGTGTATTTGTGGTACAGTTTATAGTAAGGATATTTTATTACTGTCACTTCTGAGATATCATATATTTCACCATGGGCATTTTTTGGAAAAGCTCTTGATGTTTTTATTGACTTTGAACATTGACATGGAAAGTAAGGATCCAGACACATGGCTTAGACTAACCCGGGCAGTATAAGTGGATGCTGATTGTCCTGCTCTAAAGACAGTGGAGTTCAGCTCATTTTATTTCTGTCCTCATAAAACTGTGTGGTTGAAGGAGGAGGGGAGGATTGGGATCTTGTGGAATAATGATATTTCTGAATTTGTGTGTTGTAGGGGAACCAATGAAATACAGGCGACACTGAAACATAGTTGATTTCTTTTGTGGGGAGAGGGAGACAAGAGCAACTGGATTCTAGTTATGGGCATGCTTTTCAACAAGGGGGCTGTGGCATTTTTAAAGAATAGAATAGTCCACGATAGCCACAATAATGGCCTCAGACATACCAATGATTGTGAAGAGGGTGCAGGATTGGGCAGTGTTTGGCTCTGTTATACATAAGGTCCCCATGAGTTGGAGCTAGTGTGAACTAACAACAACAGCAAGATAGTCTTAGTGGCAAGAGCTTGACACATGGCTTTCTTAATAAGTCTTTTCTTCTGGGTTAAAGAAAATACACAGCAAAAAGCCTCTGAGATTTTCTGAGACTCTTTTAAGTTCTCAGGATAGCTGCTTATGGGGTCTTTTGGTTAATTTGAGTTTACTGAGGAAGCAGATGATTTTTGCTTTTTCCTCATGGAAGACAACAGGTGGACGATAGGATGGGATATGCTGAGCTGTGGAACTGTTGTGCAGCAACATTAAAAAAAAAATTTTTTTTTTGATAGAGGAAGAAGGAAGAAAAGAACCTGCATGCATTAATGGCGATGATAACTCTGGGCTCGTAGAGCTAGGTAGCACTTATTTTCATGCCTTAAGCGGCGCTGGTTTATGCATTCATATATTCAGCAGCTGCTTGTTGAGCACCTACTGTTTGCCAGGCACAGTGTTAGGCTCTGGGAATATATGGTTAATTAAAAGACATAATCATCTCCCTTGGCGCCTCTGAAGAAAGACCCGGCCATCTACTTCCAAAAGATTTAAAAACGAAAACAAAAACAAAAAAAACCCAAATCCTTTGCTGTCGAGTCGATTCCGACTCATAGCAACTCTATATAGGACAGAGTAGAACTGCCCTATAGGGTTTCCAAGGCTGTAATCTTCATGGGAGCAGGTTGCCACATCTTTCTCCTGTGGAGCGACTGGCAGGTTCAAATCACTGACCTTTCAGTTAGCAGCTGAACTTAACCACTGCCCCACAAGGGCTCTTTTCTGAAGGATCATCATTGAAAACCCTACTCTGATACACATGGAATCAACTCAACGGCAGCTGTTAATTTTTATCTACCCACCCTCCCCACTCCCCACCCTCTAGCTTACAGTCCAGAGGGAGGCAGACATATAAAGAAATATATATTGCAAAATGTGATAAATGCTCTGACGAAACCACAGGGAGCAGTGGCCTGGCCTTAGCTAAAGTGGCTTGGAAAGGGGTGCGGTGGGGGAAGACAGCACCAGAAAGAAGAGAGACTGTGCAGAAGGACTTTGGCTGTTGGAGGAACTGAAAAGAGGTACAAGGAGTCCCTGGTTGGCTCAGATGGTTAAGCGCTCGACTACTAACCAAAAGGTTGGTGGTTTGAACTCACCTAGAAGCCCCTCGGAAGACAGGCCCCATGATCTGCTTCTGAAAGGTCACAGCCTTGAAAACTCCATGGAGCAGTTCTACTCTGCACACATGGGGTCGCCGTGAATCGGAATCGACTCAGTGGCAACTAACAATAACAACAAAAAGAGGTACAGGCTATACAAAGGGGAGAGAG